TTCTTGTGCACCGGGCCGAGCATGGGAAGCTGAAGAGTCCTTGCCTCGTGTAAGCACTGCTTAGCAACAACTAAACCATCAGTGTGTTCGCAACATGATTCTCATCCTAAATCCGAAACACAGCACTATACCAGCCACTACGAAGAAAATGAACTCTATTCCAGCCGAAACCAGGACACTTGCAAACTACGAATGCACCTAGCAAGCAGATCTTAAGTCATGATAAACCTCAAAAAAAAAACCCCAAAATCACTCTCCTAAGGCTTTCATTAATAAAAGGCAACTAAATAGTTCTGCTACGTTTAAAGTGTCAAAAGCAATTGTTGTTTTAACTTCTTTTCAAAGAATTATTCATTCAACAGCCAACTGAACTTCCACAAGTTCAAAGGATCACAGTATAATTCAAGTCAGCAGGGACCTCAGGAGGTCCTCCAAGTCCAACCGCTGTTCAAAAGTGGGGTCGACTGTGAGGTCACAGGAAAATAAACTTATTCTTCAATTGTGACCTGCTGAATCAGGGGTGAGGTTGCTTTTTAAATCCAAAACTCCCAAAGTTGGACCAAAAACTTCCATTCAGCCCAAATCAATTATTCACTCCTCAGGAATTACCTCTAGGAGCTCCCCGAGGGCCACTCTGTCCAGAGCCACGTTTGAAATTCTGTTGATATCCATCCTGAAGCAAAGAAACAAAAAAAGTTACAACATAAAACCTGGGCATTTTGTTATGTTTCAGGAAGCTATTAATTGCCAATAAAATAAGGAGCTTTTAAAACAATATGCACTGACAAAACACTTGTGACTTCGACATATAGCATTTTATTAGTTTAAACTAATCTTAGCAAAGTAAATTCTTACTCCTACTAGTACCTAGCAGGTATAATAAAACATACAATGACAAAATCTCTCTCCAATTACAGGATATGTTGTTCAATATAAATAAGAAATGTAAAAAGATATATTTAGTGTTCAAATTTTTCAAACTACACAGAGCTCAAACAGATGAGTTTGCTGAAGGACCTGTCAACAAATGAAGCAACATTCTGACAGCAGGATCAAAATCTGTCATCTCATTTGCTTATAAATACTTGTTTGAGGATATGCAGAGTTACGGTATTTTCCAGTCAGTCTAAGCTTGGATCACACTGAGCAGACTTCCTTCAGAACAATGAAATTCTACGCAAATTTCAGAGTAACCTATCAGCATTGCAGAAGACAGGCAATCCCAAACAAGTTTGAAAAGTTAATTTCAATGGATTTCAAGTTCTTCTTTCTTTCTGACAAAGCTGCGAAAATAATTATATTTAGGAAAGAGCTCTTTATAATTCACTCAACCTTGCTCTAGTTACTAGACTAATTCTTTTAGAGATCAGTCAGCCAAACGGAACACGTTTCCCAAACGTAACCAGCCATTTAATATTCTGCTATTTCTAAATACCCATTTACTACCTGAAACTTTTGTCTTCATTAGCAATAAAAAAAAGTCCTCAAAGAAGTTTTCACTAATAGGTTTGAGTGCTTTCGTTGACAGGTTACTTTTTTCTTCTGCTTCTAGACTGTCACAACATAACGGTAGCTTACCCGCTGGTAGTTTGAATAATCCCGAGGAGCATTAAACTGGGGCTGTGTGTAACCACTGTTTGGAGTGTTGGAAAAGGAAGGACGGTAGCCATCATATCCTCCTAAGGAAAAGGGTAGAGGTCTTTCACTTGGAAACGAAAGCCTATTACTCTACGCTACCATACAAAGAAAAGCAGTAACAGCATGTTACCTCAATCTGAGGAACACCCCCCCCCGCCCCATTTAATAAGTACTGTTTACCCACAAGTCAAGCAAACGTTTGCAACATCAGCGCTAATACTATTACAAGAAACAAGAATGAAGACCTAGTAAAAACTGGGAGGAGATAGCCATTCAATCTAAATGTAACAGCTGTGACCTGCAAGGCCTCAACAGCCAACTCAAGCAAGAAGTTTCTCCTGAGTGCTGGGAACCATGTCCAAGGATGGCTCCAGTCCCAAGGGTCTAACACTTGGAAGCCAGATCAGTTTTAAGCAGACAAAAAGTGACCACTGCATTCCCTACTACAAGCAGTTGTATTTTAATTATGCTGGTTTCTCCTCTACTCTCCAGCCACGTGACAGGAAGAAAACATGGCAAAAGAACACAGTACTCTATCCATTAGTCTAATCCCGTAACACCTGAGGAGGAAACCGTCTCTCCCCCCATTGTAACATATACATCTTCATAACACTGACAGCCACATATAATAAATCTCCAGGAACCATAAAAGTTTTTATTTTTCCAGCACTACAGTATCATTCCTCCGCTCCTATTAATTCCCTCAGAGTAATGGCTCCGGCACTTTTTTGTTCTTGTATTTCTACATTATCCAGACTACTGTCATAATGAAACATGGAACTCTTCAAAATACGCTGCTTCTACCATAACTGAAAATAGAAAACATTTCTGAAATACCAACTGGCATCTGAATTCCTCACTTGATGGCTGTGAAATTCTGTTGGACATTTTCCCATTTGCTTATACTTGCAGTAGATGCCTGATCAAACCAACACTAAGCCTTCAGCACAGAAGAGGAAAAAAAATGCTTCTTTGCTTACATCCTAGTAGGAAGCCTAACCAAGCGCCTAAAGTTTCAGTTAAGTTAGCTAAAGTAAATGGCATTTTTACTACAAGTTTAAATATCTCACAGAGATACTACTACAGTAGAAAAACAACGGTAAGTCAGTTTAACATCTGGTATCTTGGCACAGTGTTTCCAGAAAGTAGTAAAAGTCAAATGAGAGCGTTTAATAAAGCTGTTTACCTCTAAATCCATTTCCCGGTCCCCTGTAACCGTTCATTAAGCCACGAGCCCCACGTGATCCACCACGAGACACTCCTCGACTGTTATAATAAGGCTGACTGTTACGTGGAAATCCAGTATTCTGCTGGGGAGGCTGCTGGTGGTTACCCGCCACTTGGTGAGTCTGGTCCGGGGAACCATGGTAAGTACCAACCACTATATGGGAGCGGGGAGAAATAGTGAAGTATAAAAGCCTGAGTTTATTTATGTTCCCACATATACTCTCTTCAAACTCAACACTCAAAGCTTTAAAATACCATTGAACAAATCAATAAATGCTCACCCATTCAAAGAAAAATAATCTGCAGAATTAAGTACGAAGTTTACTAGTCAGATATCCCACAATATTAAAACAACCCAGAAATGGTAGGGTTGATTTCAGTCAGTGTCAAGAAGTCTCTAGTATAAGTTCAGCAACAAGTATTCCTAATGCAGGTACAATTTTCCTGTGCTATTTCAAAGCCTTTAAAAATCATTAACACACTCTAGAAAAAACAATATGAGTAAGTTGACCCACTGCCATAACCTCCTCCTCTCTGAACTGGCAGAGAGCCACGAAGAAATCTTTGCTTTCACTTACTAAATCCTCTCTGTTAGGGGTACCTGTGCTGACTAAGGTGAGATTGATAGGAACATCTTAACAGAGCTGCCGGTTTGACTGTACAGGCTGCGGGATCCTTTCTCTATACAGGACGTGTACATCAAAAAGCAAGAGCAGGATGGATAGCTTAAGACTATCTGCATCTTTGAAGTAAGACTACTTCTTTGAAGTAAGGTATGCCACATCTTCCTCACTTCACAGGAATGAAGCGGATTACAAAAGAATCTGAGGGCTATAGGCTCAGCAAGTATAATAAACGACAGAATTCTGTATGTAAGAGCAAAACAGCTGCAAAATTTAGCCTCATACCAAACGCTGAAGCAAGATCTCAAAGAACATTGGCAAGTGATAAAGCCCCTCTCATACACAGGAAAGGAAGATTTCTCCACCATCCATCAGGGAGCACAACTTTGTCTACTTCACTCAGCCACAGAGCACTATGGAACTTTTGCACAGATCCTCCACCCTTCTCCTCAACTTGATTCTCGTGCATGAAGTGGTCATCCTTTTGAGTGTTTAGTGTGCAGATGTTGTTCTAAGGCCACTGCATTTTCTGCATATCAAGTTACATTTACCTAGTTGTTACATTAAGTTAAGCATTTAATATTGCATGGTCCACCTTCAACACCAGCATTCCCCACATTGTCTTTCTGCCTTGTGCTATATATGGCTCAAAAAACATATAGGCAGATAACCAAAATTTCGTTCTCCCTCTTCTTCTCTGCCCACCCCAGTATCCCAGCTTACAAGGAAGACAAAATTCAAGATCATAATCAGTTACAGAGAAAAAGAATCAGGCTCTTTTCCCTTACTCCACCTCCAGTAGTTGTTAGCACTTCACTCCTGTCATCTCTGTCCTGTGTCCTTCACTCAAAATCCCTCTCTGCATCTGCAAATTTTATCTCAGTGGCAAGTGAGGAGAGTGCTGGGAGAACAGCTTTGTAAATACGCTTTATTTTACTGTTTGGTTTTTTTTGAGGTTGCTAACTTGGAAAGCATTTTGCCTGCTCTATTCAAACCATGTCTAACTGATTTTAGCAAAAAGATCTTTACGAACCTTACATCATCTGCGAGAAGCAGTCCGTATTCGCTCTCAATTCTAGCTTACAACTTCCTTTTTAAAATGTCATCTCAAAGAGTACAACCTTTTTTTTTTTCCTTAAAGCAAAGTTAAGGATCATCCACCCTTAATATCAGCAGAGCAAGTACTCCACTATACTGTTTTCATCTTTAGAATAATCCTTAATCCTGTTCATGTTTTTTTTAAACCCATATAAAACTGAATCAAGTGGCAAAATTCTTTTAACGCTTGGAGATATACAAACCAAGTTTCACTCCCTGCTGGATATTCAAATGGAGACAGAATAACAAAACCCAGGTATTGTTCAGGGGAAAGCTTCGCAAAACTAGGACCATTTGAGAATGTGTGACATGTTTTGCTCCATCTTCTAGGACTTCACAGCCTGATCATCTGCTCTACTCAAGCTATTGCCATTTTAGTTTTTGTTAAAATAAGTTTACCTGTCTGGAGTTGTTCTTGCTGAAGATCTGATTGTTCTACTTGGTGAGGCTGATTGGAGAAACTCTGGTTGTAACTGGCCTGGTACTGATTTTGCTGCTTAAGGGTTTCTGGCTCATTAACAGGAGGAACAGGTGCATTCATGTTGAATACCTATAATGTTAGAAAAATAGCTCTCTGGTCCAATTCGTTTTTTACAATTCCTCATCACATCATGTAAAGTAGTATGCAAGTCGGAGCAATGTGAATAACCAAAGACTATTTTATGTAATTACATCACAGATTCCAAGGTTTGTATAACAACACAAGGAACGACCACCAAAATAAAGGAATTCAATATTAATTTACTACTTACTGTTTGCATGGATTGGAATGGAGCTGCATTAACATTGATTCCGCTGCTATGCAAAGGTTTGCTAGATCCAGCCTGGAACACCTGCGGCTGGGATGCAGTAGGAAGGGATGATGATGATGGGGTCTGGTCTGTATTCAGTGACATTGAAGCCTAATAATTAAAACAAACAACACTTTAGCAGCTTTTGAATAATACCAAAAATTTAACTTAAAAACTTCACTTAAAAAAAAGTTGCAACACCTCAGGTTCACCTCAACAAATTTTTCTACTTCAGCCCAGCAGCCTCACTCATGACAGCTTAATGGGAGAGGAAAAACCAAGCAGTCTTCTCCCTCGTTAACTTGAAACACAACTAGAAAAAACTACAGGGGGAAATGAACAAGTTTCTGGGCTAACTGCTAGCCAACATAAAAAAACAGATCACGTTTCCTAAGCCAACAACACTGATGCTCATATGCTGATGTTGGCATGTTACTTCTAACTAAACAGACAATCTATTAAGTTAAAAGTCTTACTATGAAGGACTTACTGGTCACAGACAGGCTCAAAATTTTGAAATTCAACAGAACTGAAGCGGCCCTATCAACAGGTAACTAAAAATTACAAAACTTCATTTGCAAATAAACATAGACTAACATTTGGTCACACCTGCAAGCAGAGTCCTTCCCACCCCTGTGAAATCTGACTTGCCTGAATCTGGTCAATTGATTCTTTCTGTGGCCGTTGCTCTGTTGTGTGAGAAGGCTGATACATGGGTTGGGAGGCTGTATAACCCTCACTTGTAGAAGAAACCAAGGGAACCTGACAAAATAAACCCCAAAGCCCCCAAAAGTCAGCTGATGCTCACACACAGTTTTATAAAAAGTATCAGAGAACTCTGGAATGAATGGTACTCCCTAGTAAAAGTACTCATTCTAGCAGATCTTTACAACCATTAAAAATTAAGTACTTCTTAACACGTAGAGATTTAACCACCTCTGATAGAGGTGGTTAGAGTGACATACACTCTGAACATGCCACACTGCCCACCCCCCACCAGATTGTATTGTGTGGATATTTCTGAATCGGCTGGACATGCATTTGCTTTTACTGAAGAACCCCCTTCTCCTCATTTCCTTATGCATTCCCAACTACCATTACAATAAAGCTGGGGGAAGAGAGAGAGAGAGAAATATACAGAAGTTTAAATGAGAGAACTCCAAGCTCATACAGAAATAGAGAAGTGCTGGTTTCCAATAGACTGAATTTGCTCATCTTAACAGCCTCTGCTCCTCTACAGAGTCCAGTGAAAACTGGCCAACAAACAGAAGACTTTGCATTTCAGGCTATTGGGGACTTTAAGAGGCAACTGATAACGACTGATAGGTATGTTCACATCACCTTGTTCAACATTCAAAAGGAAAGAGGTAAGTTTAGCTACTGCTTGCAAGATCCCCAAGGGAATCATTGGCAGCACTGGTTGAGGTAAGGAAAATAAGAAAAAAAAAAAAATCCATTGGAGTTAAGTCACAGACATTATTTAACAGTAAAATAAAAGCTACTGCAGAGAGCTCTCTGACAAAAAAATTATTCTACACCTACAAAACAACAAAACTGCTGAGAGTACTAGCACTTCAGCAGGTACATACAGAGGAAACTCAAGAAAAACCCACACTCCTGTTTTTATACAAATGAGCGACTTAAAACTTGCAGACCTAATCTGAACAAGATAAAGCAAGTAATTTATACTGCCATCACTCTGAGATACACAATCTCTAGTTGAAGATGTCCCTGCCAATTGCAGGGGGCATGGACTAGATGACCTTTAAAGGTCCCTTCCAACCCAAAGCATTCTATGGTTCTGTGATCTATCCAGATTTTGCTTTTGCTTTTCAAGCACCTACAGGGATCAGATTCATTTCTTGAGACCAGCAGAGTCCTTCAGAGATGCCACACGTGCTTAATACAAAATCAGGAAGTTCTTTAATCACTAGACAATTCGGTAAGAAACTGACACATCTGAATGAAGAGCTGAATACATCATTCATACATTGCAGAAGCATATTTAAGAGATCCTACTGAAACAAGAATTTCAGGAAAGCTCAACTGAAAACAGCATTCCAACTCATTCTGACTGCTCTACAACTCCAGTATTAAAATATTATCCAAGCAAGCAACTGGGACTCATCCTTAACAGAACAAGTCAAAAACACCACCACAAACTATATAGTTAATCTATTAAATCCATTTGTGGTCTGACACCCACTTGAACAGATACAGACTGCCCTTTAACCAAGTTATTTTGGTTTTGGCATTTCTGTCGCAAATAATGGACAACTTGTTCTACCTAAATTAGACATATTACTACACATGGATTAACATGGAAGAGAACACTACTAGGCAAAGACTGTCATGCCAAATTATTAGTCCATCTTGAACAGAATGCACAGAGAAACCTCTGCTATATTAGAGTAGGACTACATAGAGCAGCATTCCAAACAAAGTCCTTCCTCTCTATCATGAAAAAACCACACTTAAATATTCACCACTGTCACACGGGATACAGATTTTAAGTGATGGCAGCCTAACACACAGGCACATGGAAGTCAATGTGTGAAATGAAAATCACATCCACACCGCATTTGAAGACTGAGGTGAGCTCCACAGGTTGAAAGAACTGGCAACTGCAGAGAAGTCCACATGGGGCCATTAGAATGAGCAGTGCAAACTCCAGCTGCTACCGTGCTTGTGCCCTTCAGGTTAAGGGGCCTCTAATTCCAACTGCATTTTCCTCAATAAACTCCTACTTCAACCTTGAACCTGACAGTTTTCCAAACAGGGTAATGCCTGATAGGACTCTGTTACAGAAAACATGCAATATCTGCATAACATAAAAACTGTATATACTAATGCTTATAAGCAACAATGCTGAAGAGATAATGGAGATAACCAATTTCCCAACATCAGAACTTCAGCTTTTTCTTTGAGTTTCTCATATAGTTAGGAATTAAATCCTATTATAACATCAGTCAAGACTAAAATCAAATCCAAAATACAATTTACTAAACATGTTACCTGTGTAGCTTCTGGTTGCACAGGAACTTGATTAGGCTGGGCAAGTCTTGACTCAGCATGAACTGAAGTAAAATAATTTCACTTATTACATAGTACAATCAAACCTTTTACAGAATAGCATTACCATCTTCTCTAATTCAGTTATTTGCGAGCTCATCATCGTAAAGATGATTATGCCTTTGGCATAGTAAAGCTACACTCAAAATACCAATTACCAAAATATGTTTCTTCCAGTTGTCCAAAATAATGCAGCAATTTCCAAAAGGCTAAGCAAAACTTTATTTTGTCCATTTAAAAAAGTTTAAATGTTCCACGCTTCCAAGCAAAATGTAGAAGCAAATGAGAATTGGAAGTCTACAAACAGTATTCTTCAAAAGTACAATTACATTTCTGAGAAAAACACACTTTAACAATACTGTATTATTACTTGTGACAACCCCTTTACTATGTAGCAGTAACTGAAGCATTGCTAAGAGATGACTTGCAGGCTTCCCCAATATTTATGTTTAGGATTTACCATTACAAACCTGGAGGGCAAACCATTTGTGGCATGTCCAAATTCTGTGCTGGATTCATGGGCTGTGCAGATACAATGGCAGGATCAAGGGTTTGGTTCTCAAACTCCAGCATAGAGTCCTGGGAAAAAAATAAAAATACTAAAATCAAATCCAATTTACTCTATTTTAAAAATATTAACATTCAGAATACAGAAATGACCAGGTCACAATAAAGGAAGCTTACTCCACAGTTACACAATTGCTGGTTTTACCATACATTCTAAATCAATTAAGATACTAAAAATTCCAAAATGTATTCATCACAATAAAAATTCAGTCCGTGTATACAAACTAGAGCTTATTTCACAAAAAGATAACTGGAGGGAGATTTTAATAGCCAGACAGAATAGGCGGCAATCTATTCTTTATCCTAAATTAGCAATTTGCAGGAAGAAACAAGAAAAGGAACATAAGAAGTGTATGCCTCATTTGTTACCAAGGTGTCTACTCTCTTCTTTGGGGAGGAGGAGGAGGAGAGGCTTTTTCTGATGTATTCCGTTATCTCCCAATGCGCTTCTAGTTGTTCTAACTTCAGAGGTTAAAGGAAATCCTTCAAGAAGCAACCCAAAAAGTATAACACAAAATTTAGAACTAGCTTATAGAAGGGATATTTTACAGCGGGTCTCACTTAAGCAGAATACACTATGGCACCCAGTGATGCACAACTTTCTGCCTTCTCTATTGATTTAGTACAAACAAGGACTGAAAAGCTAAATAACATTCTAATTGTACTTTTGACAGCAATACAGGTTTGTGGGCTTTGGATGAGATCTTGCCATATTATACGGTTTGCAAGACGATTCTATTTTTCAAATAAACTACACCAGACTCTTTAAATCATGACTAACAGCCAGAAAGTGCCATTTTGTTTCCTTGGTTCTAGATTCACAGTACCACGGCAGGTTCATCATACCTGCATGAAGTTATACGGGCCCTGCATCTGCGCCATAAGGTCCTGTACTCGCTGTCTTCTAACAAGAGGATCTGCTTGAGCCACAGTAGTGAGCGCATGAGGTTCAGGAACTGGAGGAGATGTAGCTTGTGTCTGTTGCTGCAGCGAATTTACAACCTAAGAAGAAACAAGCAACCGATTGAAATTTCAGCTTAAGGTAACACTGCACAGACGCGACTCAGTAGTTCTTGAAATTTATGACTATTACCTAAGTCATCATGGTCATAATTACTATAGTGTTCTTGAAGAAAAATACTACATCCTCCTACAGTCATGCCAATACTGGCGGCCAGCTACTGATCCGAGCACTTCATGGGATGAAAAAGTTTAGAGACAGTGCTCTATTTGCTTTCCATCTACTCTATTCCCCATTGAGAACAGCGCTAACAAAAAATTTGTTCAATATTACGGGGATTTTTGTAGAGCAGGATTTGAGACAGCAATTTATCAACATGTGGAAATTTAAAGAAAATCAGGGAAGAATAACTTTCAGAAATATGCACATGTGAAGAATAATTCTTTTCTCATACCTTTTTGGTAAATGTAAATAGAGTCAGAATTTTCTGGTCTTTCTTAAGACTTCAAAATTTTAAATTTTCATAGCCATGTCTAGACCCGAGTTCTCAAGTGTTATTCTAGCTAGCTGATTTATGGTCTCAGAGAACAGCAGGCAGCATTGCGTGATGGGAAGATTGCAAGACAGCATCATGGGGGGACACCAGAAGCCCCGAAGCAGAAGCACAACTTACAGTGGGCAAGAAAGCTCGGATTTGCTAGACATATTCCAATATAGTGCACATAAACAAAGGTACAACAAGCGGCAACATGCTTTGAAATACCACCTTATCAAAGACAGCAGAGCAACCAGGAAAGCTGAACATGAGCGTTGAAGAACAACCATCATCAAACAGCTTGAAAACAGATAGTTACAAGGACAGTTGAGCTACACAAAGTAGCAAAACGGGTTAGGAAGGTGAAAGTGCTCTTTAGGCAAGTCCCATAATACAGAAGTGCCATTTTCAATTTGCATTCATGTCAACAACTATCTTTTAAAAAGAAGGTAATTGTCAAAAACTTGTCTATTGCTTCTCTATTCCGATGAGCTTTTCATTATTAATAATCTTCCAGATAAACAGGTAAGCCTTAAACTTACAGCTGCACAGGATATAAATTAGCATACATGCACCTGAAAGTTCATAATATTTATGCAAAATAGCTGGTTTCTTATTAGAACTGCAGAAGACAGATTTCTGTACAGCAGTCATGACAAGAGTCCTGTTTTAGACCAGTGCTATAATCACAGGTCTGAACATTAAACTTGAACTCCCTCTATCCACCCTCAAAGCCTGTAGATTTTTTCAAACTTCTCAAAGAAACCTACAGCATCTTCCAATATGCCTACTCCTTGCTCAGATTTACATTGTTTGTATGTGCCATTCTGCACATGCCATTGCCTCGAAAACTCCAATGCCTCTCTCCTTGACCAAATCCCTAGCCATCTGTAACAGAAAATTTAACAAACAAAAAACAGGCTAAACAAAACTAAAAAACAACCACAACATACGTTCCTCTTCGAGATTCACTTCAGACCACTATTAGCCAGCCAAAGTGAAGCAATGTAACAGTTCCCATGGAAGTACACCCTAAGGCTGTCTACACTGGAAAACAAGCACAACTGCTCTGCTATATTACACAGTCCCCAAACTTCAAATTATGGACTGCTTCCAAATTAAGAATTAAGCCCTCTGAGTAGAATTTTTTTTTTTTTAAATTAGAGAATACATATAGACCTCTCTGATATTACAAAGCTTTAAAATGGAAGTAAAGAAAAAAAGCAAGCCAGATGACTAGGTGAAACTTGAGAGGTAAAACCAGCAGCTACTCATCTCCTACATAATTATTATCAAAAATGTTCTCAATTATTTGAGTACTATCACTCAACTTATGAAGTCCAAGCCATTCATAAGAATTCAGTATCGTCAAGAAAAAACAAGTTGATGGAACAATCAAGAACACAGAACAGGGACAAAATTTTGTCAAATGTTCTCCTTTTTCACAAATAGTACAGTACTAACTTCAGATGGTGTTTAATATTTTACATTGTCTTTTTCAGACCTCTTTTTTTAATGTCAAAAGGAACTGTTTAGGGTCTATTCCTTTAGTCTTATCATCACTACCAGGTACTTTGACCTATTACAATCATAGTAGGTTGCACCTACTAAAAAAATTTCCAAGTTTTTCTTATGAAGTTGCCAATGGACAGGCTGTAGTTCTAAATTTAACAGCTTTCTAACAGTGCTGCATGAAAAAGGTACCAAGGCTACTCAAATACAAGGATCATTATTCAAAAGTCAGATTATTACCTGACCATACATCTCCATTCATCCTGGGGGCACAGCAGCAAGGTCAAACTTTCCTTTTAGGAGAGCTGAACCTCTCTGCAGAACAGTATTTGACTCATCAAATTGCATGCTCACCTTCTGACACCCTGCCTCCTGACCCCCTGCACCCTGACCTTCTCAGTAGAGAAGACACAATCAAAGAATGACAGGGTAGAGAAGACCAGGGTGGCAAAGAAGGAGGAAAGAAGAGGTAAAAACACAAGTTTAATGAGACCACAAACCAAGCAGAATGAACTTGTATTCTGGCAGTCACAAAACAGCTTCCAATTCTACACAAAATACACACACATCCATCCAGCCGAAGTTCCATAATCTAAGACACAGAGAACTTTGCACACAAGCAGATTCAGGTACTTATTACAAAGGAAGCATTTAACAAAAATAAAAACCAACCAAACAAAAAACCCTCGCGCCAACAACACCCCCCCCCCCCCCAAAAACCAACCCCCACCACAAAAACCCACACAACCAAAAACCCCA